AAATTAAGGCTATAATGTTATATACCTTTGTATGATCATGGCTTAAAAATGATTATTATGCAGTAAAATTGGATGAACTGTCCCAAGGTTGGTTAGCATAGCTGTTCACCAACATTAACACTGGTTTTGTTCGCACACAAACTGCACTTTGTAAATTCCAGTAAGCACTTGCACACAGTAAACCTGCTTTTGTGTGGAACAAGCGTAAGTGCCTTACCTGTAGCTCAGATTAATTTTTAAAGAAGTGTCTGTCCTAACAGTTCCAGTGTTATTAATGTGCAGGCAAAATCTTGCTCAAGTGAGCTTTAATAATAAATTAGAAATGGATGATGGTGGTAGAGTATGGCTCTCTGAAGAGAAGAAAGAAGTAGGAAGTTTTCTAAGACTACATACTTACACAATCAATGTAGCTATGATGGAAACAATTTTATTTTAAATCATAAATGTATTTTGCTCAAAAAGATACACCTATGCTGAAGCAAATGTTGCACAGACTCATAAAAACTTCTACATGGTTTGACCATCAGGGAAGGACCATGAACCACAGGAGCTCTGGTATGAGTTAGATATAGATTATTGTGACCAACAGGCATCTAAATAAATACTTGAAGCTGAACAATGTTGATACACCTTTATGCGTAATAATGTTCCTCAACAGACTGTACTATCCAAAATCAAGGGATGCATTGGGTTACTAACCGTCTGATTGCTACGTTGTGCAGAACACCACCATTGTGACTCCTAGTACCGCTGAGAACCAGGAGAATTAATTTGAATGTAATGTCCTTCTTGGACACCACTTCCTTCCTTGTCTCTGGTTTTGAAGGAAACCCTTTGTGCAAAATAAATGGGAAGGGATGGCTGACGACTGGGTGTGATTTCTCACACTGGGTGGGCACGCGATTCATTGCTGGATCCCATTTTTTCCCTGGGAGGAGAACTCATGCAGTTAAACAAATGACCTGAGGTCTTTTTCCAACAGGGCAGTTTAAAATTCATGAAATTCATGCTCATATATAATATGAAAAGGAAAAACGAGACACAGGCCATTAATAATATCATCAGCTCAGGGAAATCAAGGAGCCATCCTTACTACCGCAGGTGGACACAATGTGGTCTACTTCCAACAGCGACCTTAGAGAAGAGCCATGCTGTAAATCAATAGCAAGACTTTCTTGGTGCTATATGGTTGCTAGGCTTCACTTGGGTTGTGCATATGTCTATACAATATAATGGTCTGTGATGTACTAAATGTTACTGCAGGATCAATATTAAAAAAGTATTCATTCCCTGCTCACAGCAACATCTATTTTGGCCTAAAAGCAGCTGAACAGTGGGAAAGAAAAAACCCTCAAACACACTTTAGATTCCTAGCTGCTCTTAAGTGACACTTTAAGCAGCCATTTTAAATTAACAGTCTCACTAAATCAATTTTTCAGTGTTTCACCTGGAGACATGAATTTAAAATCATAAAATCTCCATGCAGAAGTGTGTTGTTGCAACATGGTTGGGCCATTTCTAGATAAAATGTTTTTATATCAGGGTGCTAAGATGCAATTGTCTCCTTTTATTCCCAAATAGGAAAAAAAGAAAAAAGAAAAAAAGAAAAATAAATAAATGAGGTAAAGCTTCCAAACAAAATATGTCTCTAATCAGATATTTCTGTAACAAAATGTATTCTAGCACAGTATATATTGAATGATGGTATTTTAGGACAAATATTGGAAAGAATTTATACATAGTGTTAATAAAATATGATTCACTGAAATAAAGGGATTTTATTGCTGTGACCACTGTCAGTCAAACATGTTGAGTAGGGCAGATTGGTTACAAATGCTCCTTCCATATAGATCTGTAACGAATAAAACTTCTCCCTGTACAGTGTGACAGCCTAGTTTTTAAGCTTACTTGCTGGTTTCAGTTGAATCACTATTAAGTATGAACTTAATGTCTAGCAGACAAGCATGAGAGTCTGTATAGTTGCTACCTAGTTTCATTTGTTAAAGACTAGTTAATAATACCAGTCCCACACACCACGTTTTTCCAAATGTGCAGGGGAGGGCATCCCTGTGTTTATAGAAATTCAGAAGAATGTAAAATGACATTCCTCCCCTTTTGTACACAGCTTATCTTACTTGCTTTTCATACTACGGATCCTATCATATCCCTTAAAAGAAATTATTTTAATGAGTAGGTATTTTCCCAGTTACTTAAATGGGCACATGCAAAGCAAGTTAGTGCTTTTGTAAAATGAGATGGGTAATTTTAGAAGACACTGCTGCTTGTAATTTATTGTTATTGTGCAATTCTTATTTTTAGAAGACATCTCAGATAATAAATCATGATTTACATCCATATCCTCTGTCTCTGGATTTGAAGAAGCTTCTTAATCTCAACAGCAGTTGAGATGATGATGAGTGTTAATCTTGGACCTTTGCATTTTACTCGCTTGTCCTGAAGTTCTGATCAGTGTAATATTGCCATAGCTGAGGAAAGTGCCTTGCCTTCCCTCCCATCTCTAAGTAGGGCGAATGGCAGGAGGTGTTCATCACGTTATGGGTCAGAAATCAGCTGGGTCACTAGCAGGACATTTTGACGCGCTCTGGCAAAACCTATGGAGCAGAAACTCCAGTAGGAAGGATTCCAGGCGCCCTAGATTGCAAATAGTGATTTGGTTTGCTTTCAAAAAACCCTATGTAATTCAGAAAATAAGCGTGCATTATGAATTGTGGAGGACCTGGACCACAGAGTCATAGATGGTGAAAATTTAATTTGCCTTCCATGTGCAGCAGAGATAACTCCTGTTATCCATATGATTAAGAAGCTGGACAGGTTACTAATTAATTGGATACTTAACTCTAACCATATCTTATATGATGTTATCATACGGAGTAGTGACAGAAACCCCTCAGAGCCCTGCAGGCTATGTCCTGCATGTTCATTCTGTTTCATTTGATTTCTGTGGCCATTTGCTTTCATACTGAGAGAAAAACACTAGAAATGTTGAAACGGCTCAGTGGCCTGACTTAATATCAGAGCAGTCCTTTTTATGCAGGATATCATTCTCTCTGCTTGCAGAGGAAATAACGGACCATGTCCTGCTGACCGAGAGCAGCAACTCCTCTGGACATGGCACTAACATGAGCTGTGCTCAGACAAAGAGATAGTCCTGGTGATTTCACAGGCATCTTCCATCCAGAGCTTTCTGTCCCATCTGGGCCTTGATATTTACCGCATCGTTGCCAGAACCTTGACAGAAAGTGAAGCAACTCCATTGACACAGAGATAAGAAGATCCTCTCAAAACGTTTTAGCACAACTACATGTGTCGAAAACAGCTAAGAATGGAGGATGCACTTTTCTGACCATAAATGCACATTTGCTGATAGGCTAGGGATGCACTGCTGTACAGGTTGTAAAAAAATGCTTATGCTGAAACACTAGCTTTCCAGCAGCTGCTATAAAACCTTAACTGCAGACGGAGGAAAGAACCAAATATAATCACACAAGGCATAGATGAGGGTTGGTAACAGTCTGAAGACTAAGACTAAAAAATCGGGTAAAACAATTGCCCAGGGATGGACCACTGCTCAACTTTGTCACATATGAAGCTGCAAAATGTAGATACCATGAACTCATCAACCTCTGTGAAAAAGGTTTTAGAATGCAAACACTCAAAGGCCATTAGCTAAAGCAGTGCTCCCTGGCAAGGCCACAGTAGGACCATGTAGGGTATGTAGGACATATTCTTACTAGTCTTGCCCAAATTCTGAGCCAGGCCTGGGGATGAAGGGCAAGAGCAGTTACATATGTTACCTACAATGAGAAAATTATCATGGCATGAAGCTGAGGAGCCGATTATCTCCCAGATGGGCAAAGAAGTAATCTATAGCAGAGAAGAGCTTGAAGGGGTCACGAATTCCTTCAGATGAGTTGAAATGACATGTACTGATTCCTATACCATCTTCTTGAACACTGGGGGAATAGAAATTTACTACATCAACATTACTCCTGTAAATCATAAACAGGAATCTTTAAAGGAAAGTCTACTGAATTTCCTTGGGATAAACTCCTGATAATCATAAGGAGTTGTAAAACATTTTGTTCCCCTGCTCATGTCTTTACAAGTCTTACTCTGACAGGCAGCCTTAAAAACAGAAATATAAATCATTATAATAAAAGTAAGGAGTAATATTGTATTTTAATGGTAAAATAATATCAAGACTGCAATAAATTATACAAAAACAGCATTAGAAAACCTGTCTAAGATGTTGAATTATCTGAGATGAAGTTATAGAGTTATAAGTTAATAAATAATACTGAAGCTTCTGTTGGCAACATCTGTAGCCTTCAAACTGTAGAGTTTAAACTGTAGAGTTTAAACTCAGTTTTTACTGAACAAGAGCTTAAAAGGAGGAAAAACAAAAGTGGAGAACGCATAGCCTCCGGTACAGCAGCTGTTATCATCCATGGGCTGTGTGGAGAACGGCAGAGTCCCCTACAATTGACATGTAAGTTAACAGACAAGTGGTGCAAGCCTTGAGCTGTTGATAATACCATCCCTAAACAAATCCACCTAGGGAAGCCTCTGAATTCTGGAATATCTAGTAAAAAAAAAACCCCAAAGTGAACTTGCATTTGAAAACAAGATCCCGTTTCCCTTTGCATGTGACCCCAAAGAATCTGACCTGCCATGGATATGTTAATTCACACTTGCTAAGGTACAAATGGCATCTCCTCAGAGTGTTCTGATGAAAATTTAATGGTATGTCTGAAGCCCTAACCATGAGAAAAGGCCAAGTATGACCTGAGCGAGGCACTCTTGTAAGCTGATGTTGCTGTGTCAAAAAAGCATGTCCTGCAAGTACCAGCTGGTCTCTGAGGGCTCCCACTACATCTGAGAGGGTGATCCACCACCTCGCTTGTTCCCTAACATTGAAACACTGGTGGGAAAACCCTGGCAGTGCAAGACCAAGGCTGGTAGTGCCACCTTTAACTTACGCGATTTTGAACTGATGTTCCCATACATGAACTGCCAAAGCAAGGGGATGCGCTTTCCCTGCACCATTCCCAGCTGCTGCCGAGGGAAGGCTCTCCTCTCCTCCCTCCTGTACTGCTCTGATGACTCTGAGACAAATACACCTGGGAGAGCTACAAGAATTCTGTGGAAGTCTTCTCTAGGTATCAGCATCGTGCTTACGTTTTACTGATAAGCTTCAGGTAAACTATGCTTACAGCTTGCTGAGCTTCTTGAGCTGTTAAGTGGTTACAAATGAAAATCTGAATAGAAAATATACTGTACTAATGAACACAAATCTGTTTCTAACGAAAAACAAAGCTAAAAGAGGGCTCAGACAAACCAAACAGGCTTCCCCTGGCTGGAGAATGGAGACTTAGCTCAAACTGGTGCTTCCACAAGACAACAAACGTCACATCTACAAACACTTCAGCTACTTCATTTCCACAATAGTTTTAACAAGTGGTTTCAAAACATGATGGGTGAAAATCTTATTTACAAAACTGCCTGGGGTCCCATGTGTGGAGTTACATACATGATGCTCTGTGTGTGTGTTTATCTATTGGTCTATATCTATATACAACATTTTTGAATACAAGTGAATTAAATCCTGTCATGCCCTAGTCAGGTAAGTAGGGTTAAACCCATAGCACATATATCCTACATCCAAGAGAAATTATACGACTTGTTAAGGGCTGCCCTTCCCACTTTTGGTAAAAAACAGCTTGAAATTGAGAGTGTATGTTTTTCAGATTGATGGAGCTTGTGCAAGGGTCATCAGTCTATCAAAACATCTTCTAATGCTCCACCATTCTTTACCTGAATTTTGAATATTCAACTATGCATTCATGGATGCGACCAGAAAAGTTTTTATTCTGCAGGCAAAAATCTACACTTTCCAGCTTATCAAACTTGAATGATTTCCCCTCTAAAAGGGAAATAATTTTTAGGGACTTTCTGGTTCAGGTTAGATTTAGAAAAGGCTGAACAGACTTTGAATCACATTGTTAAAAGCTAGTGACCTTGATATGTGCCTTCAGATGCTGTGAAAGAGGAGAGAGAGTTCATACTCCTGATAAGCGGTCTTTTTAAAAGTAAACACCAAGCAGTGAGGAAGTTACTGTTGCATTTAAATTACCTATTTATTTAAAGTAACCTTCAAGACCTGATATTTACTTTTGCTTGAATATAATTTATCATGAGAAAGAAAGTTGCCTGGTTAGTGAGAATACATGGGCATTTAGCTATTTTTCCTATTTATTACCGTAAATACTTTTATTATCATCTGCTTTGTTGACTAGCAGCTTGCCATTAAGAAAGAAGCCACAAAGTATTTTGTTATGCAAAAAGACAAGAAAGCTTACACTGGATTTCTGACCTCAGATCTGTCTCTTGTCAATAGCACTGACAAGTGAGCATTTTATCTTTGTAGAGCTGTACACTATCTGCCAAAAGAAAAGCTCCTTAAATAAAACAACAACTGAATGTAACCATTTTTCCCTCAGCTAGCTATGAGCTGTTGCAACTATCCTTGCAATTAATGACGATACCACACAGTAGTGACTCACAGGTATTGCTTTGATATTTGTGACGGGCTTGTATTTTCCTAAGTTGCAATGGAAGTGTCCTGTGCTTAGGCAGAAAGCTTCCCACTGGAGTGCCACTGGGTGCTGGAAACCTTTTGTCCTGTTTTTGAAGTACAACTTTGTTTATAGGGTGTCCGGAGTGATGGTACAAAAATGAGATGGGCTGAAGGAGGCAGAGGGTGAGGTTGGCAAGGATGGAAGCAGAGGTGCCAGCCATATGGAGAGCACAGCCAGATTCATCCAGTCCTTCTTTATCACATTTGAACATTACTTGGGAATCTGCTCTGTTGTCCAAGTACCTTTTCTCTTCTATTATGTTCTTGTTTTATACATGTTCAAAACTGCTTCTCCATGACACATGTTTTGTTAGTTCAACAGCTTTATGCTCTCTCCTCTGCCCAAGAGCATGCTGTGAGAGGTGTGGAAGCCCTGAGACTGCTGGCATTTCTGAAAAATTGTGATGTTTGTCCCTGGGGCACCAGTGAGGTATGACCTCAGTGCTTTGCAGCCAGAGGGAGATCTGCCCCCTACAGTGTTTGAGGAGGACTTCCCCAAGCAAGTTGATGCTGATGGTGATTAACTGCATGTTGGCACTTTGGGGTGATGAGTGGAGAAGGAGGATTTACGTGAGGTGGATGCTGTTGCTGGCAATCAGTATCAGCTGCCCCCCCCCAAAAAAAACCCCCTCCCGTTTTTAACTCATGTACTCCCAAGATGTACACATTTGCAGTCAATGTTCCCTAGATTTTGGTTGGGTAAAGAAGAGCAGGAAGGACTCGAAACATTATCTATGTTTCTGGATTCTCTCCAGAATTTAGGCCTTCCTAAATACAAATAAAGCCTCTGGAGACAGTGAGTACAGTCCCTGCTCCAGTAAATTTCTTCTGTCTCTTCAAAATGTACAGAAGCCTGAATAAGCTTTGAGATGGTCTTCATGAAGGATCAAATCCATTTTCTTCTATATAAGGTCTTTGCTTTCACAGTAAATAAAAGCACTTCCCTTTTTTACATCTGCAACTTCTGCCTCACTTCTCCGCAAAAACACATGGTATCTGTGTTTTCCCCTTTTCCCTTTTTCTAAGTTCTCCAATGCCCTCTGTCCTTTAAAGGTGTTGACATGAAAGGTGTCCATTTATTAGAGGGGCTATAGAAGATCTGGGTTAGCAGGAGTTTAGTTTACATCAAAGTAAAAACACTTCTTGAAAGAGTTTCTTGAAGGGGTCCTTCCCCTTCTTTTTTATCCTGTAGAGGGAAGAGCTGCACCACATGATTTTCACAGGTACAATTTATTTACAAGCAAAATCCACGTCCTTCTTATCCATACAGCCAGCTGACAGATGCTTGTTAGCAGGTGAAAAGAAGGCTACTTGTTAAAGTGCAGCTGCTTCAATATTTTTTTGCCAGCTGCATATCAGACACCACCTGGCAGGAATTTATTCATTAGATATTACTTTAAAAAACAGCAATGTGATGAATTTAAAATGTTAATTTGGGATGTTTTAAGGACTAGGTAATTGATGAGGAAATACAATCCTAATTTGCTGTGACTGGTATTGCTAGTGGCTACAATATTTGATTACTTTTCTAGGTTTGCAAAAAGAACAATCATTGTCATTCTGAAACAATAAAACAACAAACCCTTCCCATATTTATTAGTAAATAATGGACATGGTGTATTCTAGGTCACAGAGATTCAGCTGAACTTAGGCTCTTGATGGAAAGTTAAGCTCCTGTTAATAGCTTGAGAAAGCGTCTGTATTCTTTGTATTAACATTTATCTCACCATAATGTGACAATCTGAAGATCTCTTAAGGGAATTGCTCACAATGCCTTCATTTTACCTTCCTGGGGTTGTATTTTTAATAAGGCTGCTTGTCCTTTCCTCAGTTTATTATAAGTAAAAAAAAAAAGGTATTGTAGGAGTGCATGCAAATCTCTAAGCATAAGTAAATTTCATCCAAGTTACGAAACCAAATCATGGAGAAGTATCCAAAATAGAAAATTTTGATTTAAGTGAAATATATCATGTATAAGATATTCGAAGTGGAATAAATGAACATATTTCATTAATGGTGTAAGTTTTCTTTTCCTTTGCCTCCTAAAAATATAACAATCCTCTCTCCCGCAGGACTGCTCTGATTCCATATATCAGCAACAGTGAAAAAATGGGATTTCCAGGAAAAGAGTTCATTTATAAGACTGGGATTCAGTTCCCGAAGAGTATAATTCAGTTCTGATTATTATATTACTGGATCTCTTTTTGGATAATTAATAGATGGGATAATCTGTAATATGTAATTACAAGAAGACCAAAGAATTTCAATCATCTAATTTATTGTCTTTGCATTTTAGGAAATGAAAGTTCATTATATAAAAGAGGAAGTCTTTTGGTTTGACCTTCTCTTCATCTAATTGATACTGCACAGATACTTTAATGTCTATTTATTTTCTAGCCATGTCATAAGTGCTCTGTGAAAGTGGGTAAAGTCACACAGGCTTTCTGTTATGACTTATTTACAGTAGCAGTGTAGCTCCAGGGCTTCAACTTACGAAAAGTTTTTAATATAATGGTCCTTTCTTCTGCCTTTTTAATCTGACCCCTGAAGGTGAAGCAACACCTCCTGTAAGGTAGAGAGATGTGGCTTTAGAAGTGCCCTTGCATCATGGCAAAGCAAGCAGGCACCTGGGTACAATGTAAAGTCAAGAGAAAAAAACTTGAGGAACAGTGAAAAGGAAAGATTTACCTGAGGTTTTCAAGGAATACTAAACCTTCCCCTGTTAAACCTTCCTGATGCAAAGGAAAATACAATCTTTCAGTTTCACCATAAAGAGGACAAGGCACCACTTCTTGCAGATTTCACGAGCCTGGGACTCAGTAAAAGGCATTATGTTTGTTGGATTTCTGGGAATGATGTTTTCCTGGAAATCGTGTCTCACCAACTAGATTTTTCCTTTCAGCGTTCTTATATTCCTGAGGTATTCTGACAGTAATAATAATTAATAATAAAAACTTACATCCTCAGAAAAGGTGAAGTCAGGCTAAGTTTTCTGATGAAATTCAGGTCTTTTGCTTGAGGAAAGCTGAGGCTGTAAAACCCAGAAAGACCATGAGTATAGATCCAGTCTGGAGAGGAAGATGTGACTGTGCGGTGTGTGACTGTATGGAGGCTAGCCAACACCAACAGAGGTGGAGAAGAGAAGCTGCTTTGCCTCTGGCCCTCTACAGCCTGTCAGCGCTTGCTAAAGCAGCAAATATGTGAGCCAGTGATTCCTAGTTTCCATGACAGAAGGATGCTGCCTATGAGCCTGTCCAGAGCTAGTTGTTGACAGAAGACATTAAGAATATAAAGCTGAGGATAAAGGGAAGCACCAAGTCTCATGCCGCTGGATGCCTTGTTTTCTCAAAACTGGGGTCCGTGAGGCATTTGGGGGACTACTGACATAAATGCTTGCAAAAGCAAAGCTGAACCCAGAGCATTTCTAACACTTAGCTTAGCTTAACAAAGACTTTTTAACATCAGTTTTCTTTTTCTGTTTCCTTTCTTTCACATGCTACCATTACAAAACACCTCAGCTGGCCCTAGGATG